CTCGCCTATCAATGAAAGCTTCTTCCCAACATCCACTTTGTCCAGGTTGCAGGGAGAATAGGCTCCCCAATTTGGTGGCTGCACAAATTCGAAAACACCGGAAATTGACCAATTATTGCTGAGTACAAGGCACTGCTTATAATTCAGGGCAAATTTGACCAGCCAGGAATCGATGATCACACTGATGAGACACCACTACTGTTGCAACTCCTCACTGACTTCCACTGTCAATTTACACACAGCAAGCTCTCACAGTCAGGAGACTATGACCTGATTATCTTGATGTAGAAATTGGCTCCTGCGCTTGCCTGTAGAACAGCCACAACACATCAAACGTATGTCACTGGTTGTAAAATATATTACTGAGGCCATGGAAGGTGCTAATGCAACTTCTCTGTTATGTAGTTCTTTCGCTGTGGGAGCAGTTTGACATGGCGCTATGGCGAGGCTGCTCAAGTTCTGTGCGTGGACAACATTTAGACACGGCAGACTTTCATTCCCATTGCTCTCAGCTAGGCCATGGGTCAGTGGCTAATCCACTGCACTTTGAACTTTGCTCTTTGACAAGGTGACATTTTCGCAACAGAGGAAGCTAAGCTCTGCCAGAGATGGAGGGCACACTTACGGAACAAGAGAGACTGGCAGTACCAACATAACATGGGCAGTGGCTGTGACTGGATCCAAACCGGTCTGTTCGCTGATGCTGTAGGAAGGAGCAAAAATCCACATTTCATAATTCTTATCATAACAATCTCGATAAATTGACAAAGAATCTCAGCAGGTCTGGCAGTATCTGTGGAGAGAAAGCAGATGTAATGTTTCAAGTCCAGTGCCCCTTCTACAGAACTGTTAACTCTGCTTTCTCTCCGCAAATGATGTCAGACCTGCTGAGTTTCTCCAGCCATTTCTGTCTTTGTTTCTGCTTTTCAGCATCTACAGCTCTTTGGCTTTTTTTTGATAAATTGTCATCAACTAAATTTAAAAAGGAACTCTACCTATTGTGTTCAATTCTGGTTGCCACACTTTAGGAAGGATGTGGAGGCTTTGGAGAGGGTGCAGAAGAGGTTTACCAGGATGCTGCCTGGATTAGAGGGTATGAACTAAAAGGAGAGGCTAGAAAAACTCGGGCTGTTTTCTCTGGAGCAGCGGAGGCCGAGGGGAGACCAGATAGAAGTCTATAAAATTATGAGATGCATAGGTAAGGTTGGCAGTCTGCATCCTTTTTCCCAGAGTTGAAAGGTCTAATATTAGGGGGCATGCATTTAAGGTGAGAGGGGGAAAGTTCAAAGGAGATGTGAGAGGCAAGTTTTTTTACACAGGGAGTGGTAGGGGTGTGGAATGCACTGCCAGGGGTGGGTGGTGGAGGCAGATACAATTGGGCCATTTAAGCACATGAGTATGCAAGGAATGGAGGGTTATGGACCAAAGGCAGGCAGAAGGGATTAGTTTAATTTAGACATCATGTTCAGCACAACATCGTGGGCTGAAGGGCCTGTTCCTGTGTTGTACTGCTCTATGTTCTGTTTTTGCCAATTGACCAGAATCAAGCAAATTAGGAAATTCTCACGCCCTGAAGCAATCTTGGTGAGACCCAGCAGATGGCGCCCTTGTACAAGTAGACAATGTGGAAAGAAGTGCAACAGTACCCTCTGCTGTCAGCAGTCCATACTGCACCCATCATCGTCAATGGCCTCAGGATGGTCATTCTGCTTTACCAAGCGCTCCCTGCAGATTTTACTGTCAGTGTATCTTACCACGAGATGTTGGGGGTGGCAAAAGAGGGAGGCGCAGTTAGACCTGGATGTCCTTGTACACCACTCACTGAAAGTAAGCATTGTAGGTGCAGCAGGCGGTGAAGAAAGTGAATGATATGTTGGCCTTCATAGTGAGAGGGTTCGAGTCCAGGAGCAGGGATGTCTTGCTGCAATTGTACAGGGTCTTAGTGAGACCACACCTGGAGTATTGTGGGCAGTTTTGGTCTCCTTATCTGAGGAAGGATGTTCTGGAGATGGAGGGAGTGCAGCGAACGTTTACAGACTGATTCCTGGCATGCCAAGGCTGATGTATGAAGAGGAGACTGGATCAGTTAGGACTATATTCACTAGAGTTTAGAAGAATGAGGGAGTGGATCTCATAGAAACCTGTAAAATTCTAACAGGACTAGACAGGGTATATACAGGAAGGATGTTCCTGATGACTGGGGAGTCCAGAACCAGGGAGTCACAGTCTAAGGATACAGGGTCAGCCATTTAGGACTGAGATGAGGAGAAATGTCTTCACCCAGAGAGTGGTGATCCTGTGGGATTCTCTGTCACAGAAAGCAGTTGTGCCCAAAACATTGAATGGTTTCAAGAAGGAATTAGATATAGTTCTAAGGGGTTAAAGGGATCAGAGTGTGGGGGGGGGAGAAAGTGGGAACAGGGACTGAGGTAGATGATCACAGCCATGATCCTATTGAATGGATGGATCTGGCTCGAAGGGCTGAAGGGCTTCCTCCTGCTCCTAGTTTCTATGTTTCTCTGGGGCAGGGTGGCCAGGGAGGGGTGAGAATTTGCTTTCATGTCCCTCCGCTGCCCAGTTCTTGATCTCAGTCACTGAGAAAGGCTGAGTGGAAACAGAATGCCCAGACACAGGAATTCTGGGGTTGGGAGGGTGGGATCAGATAGCAGAGAAATCAGAGGCCATCTTGTTTGTAAGGTAACCTTGCAGAGAAAACTGCTCGCTGCTGAGCCACAACTGCTACAGCACACGAGAGGGATGTAAATACTGTAAAAGACCCAGCACATCAGGCAGTGACTGTAGAGAGGGCAGGTTAAACAGCTCAGCAAAACTCTGAAAAACACTGCGATCCCTAGTGCCACTGAAGGCAACTTGTCCATGTCTACAGCGTGTGAAGGAAAAATCAACATCAGGGAATGCAAATTTTATTTAAAAAGAAAGGATAGAGTGAGAGACAGGAAGCAGGTAGTGACAGGCTGTTTTACAGAGGCAGATCAGCCAGGAGTGTGTTTGAATCGAGAACAAACAAAGGTGTCAGTGAGGGCTTCTGCAGATGAGCTGCAGGAAGGTCAGATTCCAGGGATATCATGGAGATGGAAACAGCCGGTCCTATTGATGGTGAGGGTATGAGGTTTAAAGATCCCACCCCCCCACCCCTGCCTTCCTGGGGTCAAAGATGTCTCCAACAGTCTGGTCGAGTCTCTGTTAGTGAGCAGGGAGAGGGATGGAATCAGCGCTTAGGAGCGAGAGTTTCAGCCTTCCCAGTGTTTCTGCTGATCCAAGACTGGACACGCAGACACATCAAAAATCACCCTCTCACAACACAGGCAGGAACAAAATTCAAGTTCGAAGGTGGTTCTGCTCGAGATCACTGCCCTAAACAGCACTCACGTTGTTAGCTGAAGTATAATCGGTAAAGTTGTAGTTTCGATGGTGATTCTAGAAGTGCTTAAGATCAGGTAAAAGGTGACCTGTCGAACAAAGTATGTACAGTCAGAACAACTGTATGTCACATTGACAGCAAGAACTCTGCAATCGGAGCACAGCTATTGTCTCATAGCATCTCCTCTGCACTGTCCCCCATCAAACACTCCCAGGGACAGGGACAGCACGGGGTTAGATACAGGGTAAAGCTCTCTTTACACTGTCCCTCCCATCAAACATTCCCAGGGACAGGGACAGCACGGGGTTAGATACAGAATAAAGCTCCCTCTGCACTGTCCCCCCCATCAAACACTATAAGGACAGCAGAGGGTTAGATACAGAGTAAAGCTCCCTCTACACTGTCCCCCCCATCAAACACTATAAGGACAGGGACAGCATGGGGTTAGATACAGTGTAAAGCTTCCTCCACATTGTCCCTGATCAAACACTCCCAGGACAGGGACTGCATGGGGTTAGATACAGCGTAAATCTCCCTCTACACCATCCCCCCCATCAAACACTCCCAGGACAGGGACAGCACGGGGTTAGATACAGCGTAAATCTCCCTCTACACTTCTCCAACATGTATTTTCTGTACTAAGACCATAGAAACTAGGACCAGGAGTGAGCTGTTCAGCCCCTCGAGCCTGTCTGCCATTCAACAGGATCCCAGCTGATCTGCCATTCCTCACGTCCACTTTCCTGCCACTTCCCTCAATTCCCCTGATCCTGATCAAGACAAGGCCATAAGAGATAGGAACAGCAGTAGGCCATTCGGTCCCTTGAGTCAATTCTAAAATGCTACAAAAACCAATGTGACAGCTTCATGCAGGATACAGAGTGTGTGTTCCGTATCTCCCAAAACCCTCAGATGAGGAGAGCTGTCAGACTCTGGCCTGTGCTCGCTACTGCAAGCCCCAAACTACCCTGCCTCAGCTTGCAGCCAGCCCATTACCAGGGCTGAAACCTCCTGTGCTTCAGGGTGCTACCCCACCCAATATGACAGTGCATTACTTACAGCAAATTGGGAATTCCGTGACATTTGTGAGACACAATTGCCAGTAATGCCGACTTCCAACGAGAGATAATCTAACCATTGCCCGTTGACAATCAATGGCGTTACCATCACTGAATCCCGCACCCCCCCCTCCCTCCACCACTGTCAATATCCATGGGGTTACCATTGACCAGAAATTGAACTGGACTCGCCACGTAAACACAGTGGCTACAAGAGCACGTCAGAGGTTGGGAATCCTGCAGCGAGTAACCCCCCTCCTGACTCCCCAAAGCCTGTCCCACCATCTACAAGGCACAAGTCAGGAGTGTGATGGAATACTCCCCACTTGCCTGGATGGGGGCAGCTCCAACAACACTCAAGAAGCTCAACACCATCCAGGATTTGCACAAAGTCTTATTCCCCAGGCACGCACCCCCGCCCCGCACACCCCCCACCCCCCAACACCCTCCACCCCCCAACACCCTCACCTCACCCAGATCACTGACCGACATTGGCTGCTGGTTCAGCAGCGCCTTGATAATACAATTTGCACCTTGGGATATCCTGCAGTTGGAAGGTGCTACGTAAATGCAAGTCTTTTGCTCTAGGATGAGAAACCGGCTCTCTCTGTGAGAAGTAGCTCTCTTTGGGGCGGCACGGTGGCTCAGTGGTTAGCACTGCTGCCTCACAGCGCCGGGGACCCAGGTTCAATTCCACCCTCGGGTGACTGTCTGTGTGGAGTTTGCACATTCTCCCCGTGTCTATGTAGGTTTGCTTCGGTTTCCTCCCACAGTCCAAAGATGTGCAGGCTCGGTGGATTGGCCATGCTAAGTTGCCACAGTGTCCAGGGATGTGCAAGTTAGGGTGAACTGGCCATGGGAAATTGTCCCATAGTGCTCAGGGATGTGCAGGGTAGGGTGGATTGGCTGTGCTAAATTGTCCCATAGTGCCCAGGGATGTGCAGGTTAGGGTGGATTGGCCGTGGGAAATTGTCCCATAGTGCCCAGGGATGTGCAGGTTAGGGTGGGTTGGCCGTGGGAAATTGTCCCATAGTGCCCAGGGATGTGCAGGGTAGGGTGGATTGGCCATGGGAAATTGTCCCATAGTGCCCAGGGATGTGTAGATTAGGTGGGTTATAGGGAAATGGGACTGGGTGGGATGCTCTGAGGGTTGGTATGGGCTTGTTGGGCCGAAGGGCCTGTTTCCACCCTGTAGGGATTCGATGAAGTACAAACATGACTGAACTGGATTGCTTTCAGAATCCTCACCTCCTTATGCTGACTACCTGACTGGGTCGACATGTGGCGACAGAACACCAGGAGCCTGGAGTTGTGCAGCAGGGAGGGTTTTTTTTTGGGCCGAACGACCCGTTTGCATTCTGTGTATGCCCGCTGTGCCGCGCACGTGGTGAAGGTCGGGTGCTGACTGTACCAGAGAAAAACAAGTGCATACCTCGGCGTTGCGTTTCATTGGGTTTCCAAGCTCACACTCAGCCTGGGATCCGTTGGTATTTGCAACGCAGACCAGACTGCTGTCCTGGAAAGACAAGACAGAAACACATTGGCCCACTGAGACTTGCTGCTCACCTCTGTCGCATCATACACATAAGCTGCTAAATTTTACCTCCTTGAGCCGGCACTCCGAATGATTAAAAACAAAACACGCCGATCGTTTTTACACTAGCTGGGAAAGCACAAAGCTTGAAGTTCGGTTCTGTACCTTAGATGATCGGAAGGCGGAGTAGGACAGAGTGTCTGGGAAGCTTACAATCAGAACAGCTTCGTGAGCATCATCGCCATCTTTCATTGGGTTCCTGGCATCTGACGGCAAGTTGGTGACAGTAATCTCCAAGGC